CTCATTCCCAAATATATAAGAATATATGTGGCAATGACTACAATCAATCGTTTATTTTGCGTTATTTATTTTTGTAAAAAAATGAGTATGTACTTCATGAATATTCGTATTATTTTATTCAATTTCAAATGTTCGGAAATTACAATATCTAACGCTGATTCTGTCATGAAATATTTATTAATTAATATTTATTAATCGCCATCTGAACTCTGCTTTTTATCATGATTTTATCTTTAACCCTGCGTTTATGTGCTTTAGAAAACTAAAAAGAAACAATCATCAGAGTAATAAAATACACATTTTTTTATTATTTTTATATAAATTACAATCTTCATATAAATTACAATCTGTCTATGTAGAAAGACATTGAGTAATTAATGTGATAAAGGACATTGAATTTTAAAGGGAGAATAAAGAAAAAAACTCTAATATATACAAAATACACATTTAATGTATAGATAATCTCATTTTATTTCATATTTTTTATTTTCTTAGATAGTGATTTATTCATGTGCAAATTTCTACCCACAATCTAGACATGCATCAAGTGCTCTAATTTAATATCAACTCCAGTATTTGCAGATTTCATTTCATACTTCTCAAGATAAATATATTATATTCATAATAATGAACTTCATATTATTATTTCTTTATCATTTATTAGAGTTTATTATCCCTGTTACTATAATTTAACCCTCGCATGAATAGAATGATCATGATGGTGGCCCTTGTTTATATTTGGCAGGAGCAGAGTAGAATGACTGTCCGGCCAACAAATGTTAGTAAAAATGAAAACGCGAGTTAAATTTAATTGGAAATTTATTAATAAATTTATATCCTATGCGGTTTGATGATTATAACCCTGGGGCGAGAAAAGTTAATAATGACTATACTTTTTGAAAATTTTATAATTAATAATTGCATCGATAAAAATCGTTTGTAATTGATACGTTAATATTTTAATTATTATTTCAATAAAAAATACATAAAAATTCATCATGTATTGATTCTTCAATTAAGTGATCTTGTGCTTCTAAATGTTACAGCAGCTTTAAGCTGTAATAATAATTATATAGTTACATACGCAGTTCCATATATGCATCATCTGCTGAATCATCACGTACTATAACACAGGCCAACAAAAAAAAATTTTTTTTTTGGTGCCTCAAATGTTAGAGCTGATTCTTATAGTATTTTTTGCGCTGATTTCAAATCTGCAAACCATTTTTTTGTATCAGCTCTAGTTTTTGAGATCCAAAGAAGTTGCCAAACCAGGTCCATTCGAGGTCGTCATGGCAAAGAACTTTTCACAGTGTCAACTAATGTCCTAACTAAGGACGAATGGGTCTTGTAAGTTTGTATGTACGAGTACTCATATCTCCTTAAAATAACATTCGGAATTGTATTACTCTTTTGTACTTTCGTTCCTTATTTAGGTGCGCAACTAAGTTCTCGCTGTTTGTCAGTATATAGCTCTATCAGTAGGGTTGGCCGATTTTGACAAATCCAAAACGTCTTGAAGTAAGTTTAGAGTAAGTAAACAAACTGCTGCGACACATAATTGATTTCGTTTTTGCATTATATACTTCTGTTTAAGTGAATATGTCCAATTTTATGCCAAACAATCGTTATTTGCGAGGAGTGTTGATTTTCGTCTTCCATTCAAAAAAAACGGGAACTTAAGTGCATCGAGACCTACGGAAATATTGCTCTGAGCGAAACAACATGCCGTGAAGGGCTTCAAAAATGGTGATTTTGATGTTGACGACCACCCTCGTGAAGGAAGGCCAAAACCTTCAGATTTTACAATACCATTTCAAAAACGCTAAATTGAAGGCCTTGTTCGAAGAGGATTCGTGCCAAACTCAAGAAGATATTGCTTTAGAATTAGGAGTTACCCATCAAGCCATTTACAAGCTATTGCATGCGTCGGAGATGATTTAGAAGCAAGAAACTTCGGTTCCTTGTGAGTTGAAGCCAAGAGACGTTGAGCGTCGTTTTTTCGCCTATGAATAACTGCTCCAGCGGCGAGAAAAGAAGAGGTTCTTCATCACATCGTGACAGGTGAAAAAAAAATGAATACATTACAGCAATCCAAAGACGAGAAAATCTCGGTTCGGCCAAATATTCACTGCGAAGGTTATGCTCTACATATGGTGGGACCAGGTCGGTGTTATTTGTTCTGAGCTGTTGAAACCGAGTGAAACCATCACTGGAGAACTGTATCGAACTCAATTGATGCAATTTTTTTATAATAAAGTTACATTTTCATCGAAAAAAACAGCGAGAACTTAGTTGCGCACCTAATATCGTAAAATATATCATATATATCGTATCTTGAAAACTAAAGCTCATAGAAAAAAACCAATGTCATTTTTGAAATCAGCGCCCCAAATATACTTAAAAACAGTATTAAAATCGTTTGCACCATTTTCTTTGTTGACCTGTGTAATCTATACGTAATGTAACCTAAACAAGACGCCCTATAAATAGGAAGAGTTTTGTCACTCAAACGGGATTCTCTAATTAAAACTCAACCAGTAATTGTATCACGTATATTAAGATACATTAAATATATTAAATATATTATATATTTCCAATATTATAAAGTATTATAAAATGTTATAAAGTGTTGTAAGATTTGTATAACTGAAATAAATAGTTTTTTTTATACAAAACCTACGCAACAAAAATATAACTATATACAAGCTTTAGTAAAAATTATGTACATTTATAAGATTAATTTATATTTTTTATAAATTAAATAAATTTTGTAGTTAATTAATCGGAATATTGAATTAAACCAGATTGATGATTATAACCTTGAAATATTATCAAGTGTAGAATTACACTATACTGTGAATATTATTGCGTTGTTATAAAATAACTGGTTAATTTCAAATTAATGAAGATTAATTATCAGTGCAATTTTTTTTTTAAATAATCAACAGATAATAAAAATATTTTTTACTCTATGTTCTTATCTAAATTTATTCGCATGTTTTTTATAACGCGCTAAAGTCGATTTTTACCATTTGCAATGTGTAATTATGCAGAATAATTGAATATTTATTGTTGCATGCATGATAAACATGGGAATAGTCCCAATTGAATTTTTCGAGCTTATATAAAATATAACAAAGTCCTTTATGGTTTTGCCATATGTCACGATTCCCATCTAAGCATTGGAACGCGAGGGATATGTTCCATATAGGTAACATACCAGCATAATTTGCTCAACCATTCTGAACATGACCAGGATAGGATCCAGAAATAGATAGAAATATTAAAGAAAATAATAACAGGAGTACTATTTGTTAAAAGTTTGTTGATTCATGTT